GTTTAGACACAAGCCGGCTTGTACACAAAGCTGGCTTCTGCGCATTCGTCGTATACATATCCTTGTCATCTATTTCCAGATGATGTCCCCGATAATGTAAACAATGTTTCTTCCCTGATAATGTGGACAACACTTTTTTCTCGGACAATGTGCAAAACATTAAAATAATGGAAAAACGTTTTTTTTTTCCAGATCAGTATGAATTTCTATGAAACGCTTTAAATTTCCAGATATAGGAAAGGGAACCGATACCGGAAAGTCGAGAAAAGAGATGACTGATACTCTGCCCCAAGCCTACTAACTGCAGTGCCTTGCCCCCCCCCCCCCCCCCCCCCCCCCCCCCCCCCCCCCCCCCCCCCCCCCCCCCCCCCCCCCCCCCCCCCCCCCCCCCCCCTCCTCCTCTCCCTTTTTTTCACTTCCCTCATATCCCTCCCTCCCTTCCATCAGTTACATGCGGGGCCTGTGCAAGGGGCTAAGCTCCCATGCGCAGGTGACTTCAATGACAGAATCCCACTGACCGCTGCTCCCCCCTGCTCCCGTCCTCCCCCTTCGCTTGCCTCGTATCTCTCCATCCCTTCTGTCACCAACACGTGGGGGGCCTGTGCAAGTGGGTGAGCTCCCATACGCAGGTACCTCAACGACCAAATGAAGTGATAACGAATCTGCGACTGATCTGGCCGCTATGTCGCTACTGGATCTGGAAATCCTCCATACCAGGCCTCTCCTCGACTGACCACCCCCACCAATTCGTTCATCGAACAGACCCATTGCCCTGCCATAGGATATGCCCCCCTCCATGCCAACGATCCACACCCCACACCGTGATAGCAGCTCTTTCTTTTTTCTTTTTTTTTTCCCTTTTTTCTTTTTTTCCATTCGTCATCAGAGCGAAGTGGCGGTCGTCGGGAAGGACTTTCAGGTCAGACGAAATTTCACTCGAAATCTCACACGAAAAAGTTGTCAGCTGTGTCCCAGTTCCACACCACAAAGGGCCCATCTGGTACCAGTCCCATTGCTGTGGACCCCATTGGGCCCATTCCCACACAGAGGGTCCATACCAGAGTGATCAATGCAGACCAGTTCCGAGACACCGAGTGCCGTATCGGCATCAACAGGTCCAGAATCCAGATCAGTTCTCTTCTTTTTACTTTCTTTTTTTGCCCAGATACAAATTCTACACACTGGTTTCCAACTTTCCATCGACATCCACAGTCCCTGCACCACACACCGATTGAAATCTGCGTTGACGGTGCACATCGGTTCAGTTCCACGCACCCACCGATTGCAGAGGTTAAGCGTTCAAACCCCTGTCAGTCTAAAGCTCAGTAGGTCCTCCATCCATCGTCGCCTTACAATGATCAGTGTGGTGGTCCCCGCACCACACACCGATTGAAATCTGCGTTGACGGTGCACATCAGTTCAGTTCCACGCACCGATTGCAGAGGTCAAGGGTTCAAACCCCTGCCAGTCTAAAGCTCAGCAGGTCCTCCATCCATCGTGACCTTACAATGATCGGTGTTGTGTTTCTGTTCGTGAACCGAAGTGATTGACAGGCCCAGATCGGCTTCACGCACACCGCGGAAACTGTGCACGCTACTTACTTGTTGAGGTCGACGTTCAGCAGGCATCTACTGCAGGTAAGGGGAGTCCGCGGATGAACAGACCTCTCTTAGTTCGTTTTTTCTTCCTTTTTTTAAAAAAGTTTTTTTTAAGTTTTTTACATAAATCTAACGGTTTCTTTGAATGTTTTTTGAAGTTGGGAATCGACTCCAAAACTCTCTCGGGTAACCGAAAAGAAGAGGTGATCTCCATTGCATTCATCGTCATGGCTCGTCGATCGACGAAGCTCAGGCGTTGCCTGTATCCACCTTGGGTGAGCACTCATCGTCCGCAGACTCGAATTCGACCCAGACCTCGTTCAGCCTGCCCCACACTCTGAGGGGGTCATCGTACTGTGCGATCGAATAGGACGGCTCGCCCTTCTTCCGAATGATATCCAGCACGGGTTCCCATTTGGTCGACGCCAGATCGTTTGCAAGGTTAAGGGCCTCTTTCGCGATGTTGTCGTCCTTTGCGTACCCCCCGAACTGCCTGACGAGGGTGCACCGGGGCGTCTCCCACTTCACAAGCTTCAGACTTAACTCGGGGAGGGGAAGCGGAGGGTTCCCGTTGAACGACTTCGGGACCAGAAAGCCGACAGAGAAGGCGGAAGAACAGAACGGCCCGTCCGACGGGATAATGGAGGTGCGCACGGGAGCAGTCATCTCCACCCTTGAATTGTTCACATTAGCCCCCTCGATGTACTGGAATAATGCATGGAATCCGGTCATGGTTGCAGATGTGAAGGACATGCTGGTGATCGAACCCTTGATCATCCAAGCAGTAGGACTGTACAGCCTAACCTCGAAGCCGGCCCCTTTGTGAACAACTCGATACTCTGGGCACTCGATCCGTGAGCACTTGTGAGAGATATCCTCCATACCTGAGCCCATAACTGAGCCTCGGGCACGAGATGCATCCACCACACCAAACCATGCCGTGACGATGACGATGCCGAGAAGGAAAATGGCACATGGGCGTGGACTATCGCACCTGCAGGATACCATCTTCGAATGCCTGTTGAAGATGTAGCAGTGTCTCTCTCCTCCTCCTCCCCTGTTCCTCTTCCACCTCCTCCCTTCTTCCTTCTGAATTTCTTAACTGCTCAGAAGTATATTCCTCAGGATATCCTGTCATTCATGTCAGACAAAGAAATGGGGCATTGCCAATCACCATCAATAACCATCGAACACCAAGCTTTAACACTTGACTCTGTCCACTCATCAGCACATGAGTGCAAACACACACACACACACACACACACACACACACACACACACACACACTACACACACACACACACACACACACACACACACACACACACACACTACACACACACACACCTGGATCTACTCATCTGGGTGGAATAGGGGCTGTTGTGGTGAAAATTCAAAACACACGCACACAATCATTTTTATGTATGTGGTTTCCCCTGCTTTTTGCACATCTTTCTTCCCATTCTTTTCTAAGCATGTTGCGTGTGTCCATGTGAGAACCTCTAGGAAGTGCTAAACAGTCAGTGGCAGGGTGTCTGAACTGCCTGCAGTACTAATTGGGGGGAGGAAGGGGAGGGTCTGTGGGTGATGTCTGTGATGCATAGGTCTATGGGTGCTGATAGACGTCCTTTGGAGTCACTCCCTGGCTCAGCAGGTGGTGGGGACCAACAGTCTTCACGGCTCTGCCTGTAGCATGAGCAGGTGATAAGCTGCTTTGCTCCATTTCGAACGCGTGGACTGCCTTGTCTGCACTCCTCCGCTGCGTTGCTGCCTCTCCTTATTGCTTTCCAGGTCTTTCCTCCGCTGCGTTGCTGCCTCTCCTTCTTGCTTTCCAGGTCTTTCCTTGCAACATTTGCGTTTGTGTGTTGTGCAGTTTGGCGGCTCCGTTAGCACTGCCTTGTGGTTTGCTGCGCTGTCGCGTAGTTGCCCGTCCGCCTACCTTGCCTAGTCTTTTCTGCAGCGTACCTTGCCTCGTCTTTTCTGAAGCGTACCTGCTTTGCCTTGTAGTTTGGCTATGTTGTCAGCGCTGGGCTTGTTGCTTGCACATCATTGCTTTGCTGCTCGTGCTGCAGCCCGGCAAAGCAACGACGCAGCGTGGCACATGGCACTGAACAGACAACACAGCCAAACCACAAGGCAAACAGGTACGCCGCATGAAAGGCAAGGCAAGGTAGGCGGATGCCCTGCCAACACAGCTAGACCACAATGCCAGCAGGTACGCTGCTCGAAAGGCAAGGCAACGTAGGCGGATGCCGTGCCAACACAGCCAGACCAGAAGCTTAGGCAAACAGGTACGCTGCACGGAAGACTAGGCAAGGTAGGTGGATGTGCAACTAGGTCACAACACAGCCAGCTGTAGTCCGGCAAAGTAACGACACAGCAGGCACATGGCACTGCGGACAACACGGCCAGACCACAAGGCAAACAGGTACCCAATTCTCTAGTTGCGACCGTAGATTAGATTAGCAAAATCGACGGTCAGAAACAAAGAACGATTTGTTCGGGTTAGTTAAACCGTCTATCAGGCCCATCCCATAGATTTTGGTGGACACTGGCATCTAGCAGACGTGTTTCATTTGGGAAAAAAAAAAAAAACAAAAAAAAAAAAAACTCCCGTGGACACTCAGGGCAGACACATCTTTGAACTGACCGGCCCCACGTTAAAATTCAGAGTCATTTTTCATGCATCCTATTTTTTTTCCATTCTGGGGAGCATCAGTCCGGTTCCTCTTCCACCGGCAAGTAAATGGACTCGAATCCAGTGAAAAAAAATCCAGATGCATGAAGAATAACTCTGAATTTTTCACAAGTACTGGGACTTTCCAAACTGATCTCTGGACGTAATTGCAGTCAAATGCATCCAGACGGGGCTGTGATTACGATCACATACACCAGCCTGACGAAAGTCCTTATGTGAGTATGGCCTCACTGTGGCTACCAGGGATTTTCGAGGCACGGCGACACGCGAATGTCGATCCACACACAAATTCGTTGCACAAAGAAAAAAAGAGAAAAAAAAGAACAGGAAAGCGAGTCACTTGTTTGTTTTTTTTTTTTTTTTTCCTTTCTTTAAGGAACATCTGTGTCACGCCCCTGAAAGTTGAATTTATTTGCATCACGCCCCTCTGGCGGCCGACTTACTCTGTCGCGCCCCTCTGGCGGCCGACTTACCCTGTCGCGCCCCTCTGGCGGCCGACTTACCCTGTCACGCCCCTCTGGCCGCCAACTTACCCTGTCGTGCCCCTCTTACAAGAATTCGAGTTCGCAATAAATCCCTGGTGCAGGTTGGGCCCGAAAGGGGCCGACTTACCCTGTTGCGCCCCTCTTACAAGAATTCAAGTTTCGGATAAACCCCTCGTGTAGGTTGGGCCTGGAAATACTATAGTTATGCCACCCCCTACCGGTTCCAGTTCCAACTCTTTAGTACACCCCTAGCGGATAGGGGAAGGACCAGTGCAATGGGACTGACCATCGAGAAAGGGCATCCTGGAAAGTTGTGCCCCCTGCTGACAGAGCCCAGCAGAAAAGTTTAGTGGCCCGAGGGGCACAGCAGGGTAAAGTCGCCGTCGGAGGGGCGCAGGATGCAAATAGATTCAACTTTGATGGGCACGACACAAATTTTCTGGTCCCAGGTATCTGGATTCTACCAGCCCCAGGTAATTCAGAATTTTCTGGTCATCTGTTTGTATCTGGATTCGAACTTGGATCCGTATCTCAGACGTTTGTGGATGTACCAACTGAGCTAGGCTCATTGGGGTTTCTTTTATTTCTCTTTTCTTTTTTTTGAATTTCAACCCGTCATCTGTATCCATGGGACAATCCGGCGGACAATCCGGCGGACTAGCTCGGTTGGTAAGGTACGCAAGCGGCATTCAGGAGGTCGTGGGTTCAATCCCCATTCAATTTGGCCTCATGTACCTTCCTGGGCAAGCTTGGTGCCCGCCACCTTGCGATAGGCCATTGGTCCCCCTGAGGGGCATTGCGCAGCAGAGACTACTGATGTTCGTAGGGGGAGGGTCCCGGAGGAAGGACGGGAGGCACAGTGACTGGCTCATCGACGAAGCTGGGTCCTGATGCTACTCGCTGACCGGTGGCTGGTATCTCGCCCACCCGCAGCTTGGGTGCAACCTCCCGGGCATGTTCCGAGTATGGCCCACCTGCATTTTGGGTGCAACCTCTCGGGGGCCATTGGTCCCCCCGAGCGGCATTGAGCAGCAAAGACTGCTGGGGGAGTCCTGGAGGGAAGGGGAGGCAGAGCAACGGGCTCATCGAAGAAGCTCTGTCCTGATGCTACTACTGGCTGACCCCTGGCTGGTATTCCCGGGCATGTTCCCTCTTTGGAGGCTTGAAAACGGGCTGGCTGCTATGGGTTCCCCGTAATACTACAATGAATCATTCAGTATGATAAAAGGGCCTGAAAGGGACGGTCCTATAAAGATTTGACAGGTAATTCAATTTGTTAGCCTTAAAAAAAAAAAAAAAAAAAAAAAAAGTGTGCATGGGACAAGTCCCAGATGGCCGGGGACCATATCCCACCTACCCAAATTCTCAATTTCTGACCGTGGATTAGGAAGATCAACGGGCAGGACTAAAGAATCAGCGCTGGAGGGGCTTGACCCCAATAACCCCTTTTTTTTCATGATCTATAATAAGAAATCGAGGGTTCGCGTAAGGGGGCCTCGCTCCACTAAGGGCCTCGCCACACCACTGTCCAAACGAAAAGAGAACGAATGCATCTGAGCAGAAAGTGGTAAGACAAAGGAGCCGCTACTCTCGAAATAAGCAAAACAGAAGTGTAATTGAGGCGCGACAACATTCGCTCCCTCGCGAATGTTGTCGCGCTCTTTTCGAAAACGTGCGAGTGAGTCCGGGGGCGGTGGGTTTCGGCAGCGCTAGGAGGAGCGCTATTTCGAGCGGAACGGCGGCTAGGGCCCGTGCTTCGGCCGGTGCCCTAGCGTCCTCCCATAGCTCGAGTAGCAAGAGTTGTCGTTCTCGGTAACTCCAAGGACGAGGAACGGTTGAAGGAGTGGGTGTTGGGACGTTGTTTTTTTTCTGTCTTTCACGTTTGCCGGAGGCATGGGAGGCATGGAAGACGGACTATCAAAGGGAACGGGGGAGAGTTGACCGAACCATAGGCCGCCCTGAATCGGAGGATGGAAGACCTGAAGACCTTTAGTCGTCCCTCGTGCTGAAGACTATGTTCGTGGTGTCGAAGCGAGGACGATATTGGAATGATGGGTATAGCTCGAAAACGCTTATCCGGACTTAAGTTATTGATGCCTCAGATAACCTACTCTAATAGACTATATAGTGCGTGGCTTGGTTTTACGTGCTTTCTAATTCTTTTTGTTGCCTGGAATTTGAAACGAATGCGAGGATGTCTTCCACCGCCTTACCACACGATGTAGGTTCACGCCCAATCAACCCTCTCTCAGAGGAAGGTAGAAAACGTATCGAGGAGCTCCTGAGTGTTTGCTACAGTGATGGAGTGCTCCCAGATTTCGGAATTCCCGGTCTAGTGGAGACAGGCGAGGATTTTGTGAAGGTGTCAGTGGACTGGGGCTTATACCAGGTTCACGCTAACTGGTTGAAAGATCACGTGATTTCTATTTTCTTTGATGACGAGGCGTCATCTCTCCCTCCGGAAGTAAAAAGCAGACTCGTACGTGTGTACAAGAATAGCTGGGCAGCAGCAGGGATCTCTGGGGCTTTCCCGGTAAGAGTAGCCTTCAGAAACGAAGGTAGAAATCTGGCTACGTATGTAGCTTCCTCCAAACCAGTGGCGGACTGGATGCTTCGCAAGGGATGCGATAAGGTGGAGTTGGATGGTCAACTTCACACGTTGTCCTTCCGTGCATGGATGACGGAGCAGCAGCTCCATGATTGGAGAGACGTTATGCAACAAAAGTTTTTTTGGTTACGTTGCATGGAGGTCCCGGTTTCTGCATTGGGTTTGTTAAAAAGAGCAGTCCAGGATGYGTYTGGACAAATATTGAAARTCCATCCTGCTTATAGCAACCCTTTGGAGCCGGATCTCCGAAATGTTAGGTTTGATTTAGTTCCCTCTGCGAGATTGCGCTATAAGAAATGTCTACAGRTAGACTTGAARGAGGACGGGCTAGTCAAAATAG